TACCATATGGAAGTACAAAAAATAATAAAACTCACGTTATCAAGAAAACCTCCTAAATTGTCACAGCATCAAATTTGCTAGTGTTAAAAATTACAACTTGAACTTTGAACTCTGCAGTGTACCAAGTCCTGTAGTTGAGATATCCCTCCACAGGTCAGCTGGACATAGTTTAATGTGTAAACGTGTTATGTCGACTACACGGGTGGTTATGTCAAGGGGGGAGGGTTAGGAGGGGGGGGGGTCAGAGACCAAACACCATAAAACCTCCCCTGCCACTGCTGCGAGCGGTGAAACAGTTTCTACCGTTTTATAGTTCATGACTTCCACATGATTAATTTGTTTATTTGAAACAAGTCGAGGAAAATATTTTGTAGCATTTGCTGCTATGAGATCTCAAATATGAGTTAAAACATTTGCATTGGTAAAGTAATTAGGTTTTGATAGTACAGTGTATTGGTTCAGTTTTGAAATGACAGAAAATATTTGGTTATTAATCAGTACCTGGATCAACTATGTTGTTAAGACAATAATAAGATTTTCTTGTTACACATATTTATTTTTTAACTCTAGCAGCATTAAGCTGGTTGAGAAAATTTATTATTTATTTTTCAAACCCAAAGTATGCAGATTGTATTGTACTATACTAAGCTTTTTATGTCCGTTTCAAAAGTCGAATTTGCTCAAGTGAGGGTAAAAAAGATCGTTTTTTGCATATAATAAATATTGGACAATGTTTATTATATTTAGAGCTCTATGAATTCCTTATGAGAATTCACATGTTTTTGTTGTGCATAGGGTTTTCTGTTGTTTTAAAAATCGACCATTTTATTAGTTTATTTAAAATTCATTCTATTAAATTAACTTTCAACAATAGTATTTTATAACAGTGTTTGTCCTCATTTGAAAAAATTAAAATAACAGCACCACTGATAAACGAAATATATAACCATCAACTGTCCAAATTCCTCAAATTAAATTCGGTACTTTATAATCTTTTAGTGGCAAAATCCTAAAAACTTGAGGCCAGTGAAGTAAGTAATATTGTAAAAATCTGAAAACTCATCAGAGACAACACAGCATCGTTAGGTTTTACCTCGTTAGACCTAACGAATAACTTGGCTGTAATAATCTCTAGAAATAAATCTCCCTCTTTAAGCCGATAAATCGTCATATTTTTATAATATTTCTAAGATAACTTCAACTAAATCAATTAATTTAGAAATAAACGGCAGTATTGGAGATGGAATATCTAGTTTTATCAATAATCAAAGATGCAACTAACATTTCAAAAATAAAATGACCTCTCTCAAAATATGGGAAATTGTTAACCTTTCCACGGGGGTGAAACTGTTGTAGTTGATCTAGAGGGAGAGGTGTTTTATGGTGTTTGCCCCTCCTCCCCCTCCCCCCACTCCCCCACAACCACCCTTGTTGTCAACATAACTTTTACAGTCATATCTACCATGTAGCAATCATAAACTTACCAGGTACATCTGTTAACAGGTACTCAAACACTTAGTTTCTTATACAACGTGGAATATACTAATTTTCTTTTTTATTTGTTGATTGAAAACAGATACAATTATTATGAAAATTAACTATTAAGGTTCTTTTATCACGCATTTTCATAGTTTATAATGGACCAGCATTTTAAGTATGCAAAAGTCCTGCTCATTAACCAAATGGCATTAAGAAACAAATCTTCATGTACACAAATACAATGAACAGAACGAAACATACCATTATTTTTCATCACCTTTTTCAATTTTACGTTCATTTCTGTTTTGTTAGTAAACAAATCTAATAAAAACTCCTTCAAAATCCCCTTAACTAGAACCAAACATATAGTTTGTTCTTTAAAAAGAATTGACCTTTGCAACCTTTGAAAAGTTGTTTGAGATACAATTTAACATTAACTACTTGACAACAAAATAAGTATATTTGTTCTGAGATTGCTTTACATAAGTTGAATAAAATGTCAGACAAAGTCTAAAACTACCTGCATTCTGTTCGTTTAAAAATATTACTAGAATTTTAGGAGACCATTAATTTTATAAAAGCAGTTGTACATTTTTCAGTTATTTGTAGCCGTTCATTCATTAATACAAAAGTTTAATTAATTATTATTGTACGATTCGTGTGAACTTATTCATAGGTTGAAAGAAACATACCGCTACAATACATGGAATTAATCAAAAGCTAAAATCCTTTGACAACGAATTTCAAAGAAGAACTATATTACTTCCTGGAAATGAAATCAACACAAAACCAGCACAATACCTATTTTCCTGTTTTTGCGTTGTATATGAAATTTTGTGGGATATCAATTCAATATGCTCAATTTATATATTATTCACATCAATACCTGTCTAAAAATAATCATTTTAATCATGATAGAAAATTACAATTCAAACCTGAGTTCTGGAGATAGTCATACTTTTTATTTCATGTATTTACATTTATAATTCCTAGAGGATTTCTCTTTAAAATGTGTAAAGACTTAAAACATATTTTAACCTATGAGGCTTTAAAGTTCCAAAACTAATGCTTGTTACAAAATATTTTCAACTCATAAAAAAAAAGTTCATGGCAGGGTAATGAACATTGATTTTTATAATTGATACAGTGATGTTTAACACATTGAGCATGTTAATCAGCTGTGTGATTGAAAGCAAAAGCAAAACAGTGCAATTCATATAGTTGCAATGTTTTCTATAACAATTACAAATCAGGTGAATTAAACTTCATACAGTAGTTTGATTTAAATAGTCTAGATTATTATAATTTTATATACTCGTATGTATCAATACTGAAAAAATCTTAGATTGAAAACTACTCCCTTTTGGTTTTGTCATTATCATGGATTTTTTTTTGCTATGCACGAGCGTGGGATTTTTGAAACATTACTTCAGGCTAGATCTAGGGGTTGCGGCACTATCGCTTAGATCAAATCCATTGGTTGCGGGATTTAAACCCGAGACCTCTTGTACCGAAGTCCCGCGCTCTAACCACTAGACCAGGTCGCTCCCCTTATCATGGATTAGATCAAGACAATATTTAGGTGTGTTTATGTTTGGTGATCTTTGTGTTGATGCCTTTTATTTCTTTGAAAAGTCTTATAAAATTATTAGTGTCACAAACAAATAAAATAACGTAACTTTCGCATACCATTGCATTGGCTTTTTATTCCAGACATTAAGTAAAGAACAAATTGTGAGATTCACCATAAATTAATAACAAATTCTCAACATACGCGCACTTACGTTCCAATCAGGAACACACATAAAGTTAAGCTTATTTCACACATAGTAAAGCATGTTTAAATTTTTCTCAAATATTGACTGACTTTAAAAATAGACAAAAGCTCTATTTTTGAATTAAATCCTAACTAAAAGAAGAATACTGAGTATTCGGTTCAAAGAGAAGAGTACTGAGAATCCGCGAGGAATCGACAGTTTATTTTCGATATAACTCGAATATCGCGGCAGAAATAAACAATATATCGAGAAAACCAATCAAAACTTCTAACTCGTTTAAAGTTATCCACTCGCCTTGAATTCACTGAGGTCTTGGTTTTCTCCGAAGTAATACATTAACTTTGTGCAACATAATTAAAATACTTTGATAACTTTTTAGAGTGTAAAACTCCCAGGTTGTGTTTGTTAAATTCTTTTTATGAGGTTTATTAATTCTTCCAAAATTCTACCAAGGAATACAAACAGCAAATCTGTGTTAATCTATGTAACGTCATTGCTTGTAAAAATATTGCAGAGACTAATGGTTCACGAACTATTATAATGTTAATTGTTTTTAATTAAAGGAATTGGAATTCAGCTTATTCAGAAACGCAATTGTGTAATTTTTTGAGTATATTTTGTTTCGTGTTTTACACAAATTTGAATGTAACGATAAATGAGAAAAAAATATTACTTTTACTTGGTTTGGTGCAAGGGCTATATTTTATAAATACCATGGAATATAACACGAAGTTCGTATAGAAAGCTCAGAGACACTTTTCCTATTCAATGATTTATATATTGTTTGAAACTCCTTGACAAGTCAATCATAATCCTAAATAAACAAAATCTAGTTTCAGCCTCTGATTAATCCATAAACTCCATTCTTTGGATGTTGTTCTATCAATATGTGTAACAGATTCACATTAAAATCTCCACAAATAGTGTCAAGAATAGTTTAATCACTTCATACTCGAAATAATCAACCAACCAAAGTTTTAAAACAAATTTTCTCTATGCACTGGACGGTTCAGACATAACCTACCATGGACTGCATGGAATAGCTTTGTTTTCCTCCAAGGTCAAGGTCAAAGGTAATTGACTTCCAAGCTCAAGTTAAAAGGTAATTTACCTCCAAGGTCAAGTAAAAGGTAATTGACCTCTAAGGTCAAGGTCACGTGTAAGTGCCCTCCAATGTCAAGGTCACAGGCAATTGACCTCCAAGGTCAAAGATCATTGACCTCTAAGGTAAATTTGTCCTCAACTCTCATGGCGTCTACTCATACTTTAGAAACCTTTTCAAAGTCAAAGTCAAAGTCAAATCGTTTATTTCCAAAAGTTAAACAAAACAGTAAGCAGATACAAATTATAAAGAAATATATTTTTCCGCATAGGCATAAGCCCGTGTGCGGAAAAAGAGTTCTAGATCTGCTATAACAATATCGGTTACATTCTGGATATACAATAATTTTATTTGTCTAAGTAAACATGTATTAATATACTGGGTGACTATTCCTTAAAAATAAGTAAATATTAAATAGAAACATCATTTAAAAGTTAACATGTACTAAATTGAATGAGGACAAAATAACACAATAAGTAATTTCAGAGAAGAATTTCCTAAAGTAACCAAAGATTAAAGTTAAGAACCAAAAGATATCTCATGGAATATGCCTCTTAAGACATTCCTCAAGACTAAATTTAATATAACTTCCTCATTTCGAAGATTAATAAGTTTAGCAATTGCATGAGAGGGTCACTTACCTTATTCTCAGATAGGTCCTTATTTTTACTGCCAGTTCCTGAAGCGATCAGTCTTTCGCAGTAGCATCCTTCTAGAAGGACCACTCCGGAAGGACGACTGCAGGACTCTGTATCGTAGTAGAAAAGAATGTTCTGAAACAAGACGAGGAATTACTTATTACGAGTACTTACGTCTATATTGCTTAGAATAACAGGATTTGAGACAAGACCCTATGAATAGTAATTAGAAAATTCGTTGTAGTGGTACTATGCAACATATTTGAAACTGGAGACCAGTTTAAATTTTTTTTAACAAATATGTAGTATGCACTTCGTACTTAATACGATACGGGTTTTCCTGTTTTAAACATTGTGATTTAGTGTGGAATTTTAACCAAAATGGTGATGTAATTTAGGGCTTCACCCCCTGATACTTATTTTGAATTCTTAACCACAGATAGTACACAAGAGACAAAACGTTTGTGAGAACGGACTTCACATAAGACCGGCTTCTATATATACAGTATATACAGTATATATTGTATATTTTGTAACCTGATTGGGGTTGGTAAATCAATCATTGAGGTATAAACCACAAGGAACAAATTAAATTTATTCAGGAATTGGTGAATTAGGAGTTATGTTCGCATGATAGCTGGCTTAAACAAGCATAATATTTGTAATATAAAATGGTATACAGTGTTTGGCATGCATTTGAGACGAGTTTTGAGCTCTTTAAAATGTAAAATTTGCACTAGGGTTTGATAACAAATATTTGGGTAACTTAATACTTTTATAACTATTCACTTACAAATGCAGCTAAAAATACAATTTTCTCTTAAGGTGTATAACATTTTGTATGTGTAAGATCTGTACCATTTTCCTTATTAGAATACAGCTTCGAAAATACATTCCCCACAATCAATGGAAGACATACCAAAACAAACTTCATGATCCAACAATGGAAGAGATGGTATAAATAAATATCGCAATAAAAGAAATCTTCACAAAAGATATATTTTTCACTTATTTTCTTCTCGCTCTTATAATCGATTAATTCGGTAGAATTAAATCGATTAATTCTACCGAGATCTTAAATTCAAAATAATACCACGGTAAAACATAGTTAAAATTTATTTTTTAAACGAATTAGATTTTCATGGAAAGCAGGGGTCTGTTTCGTAATAAACTACACGCTGCAAGTTGTAACTTGTAACTTGTAAATTGTAATTTCCATTAGATTTGCATTGGGCAATCAGCTGATTAACTAATAATATTAGTTTATAGACGCTGGGTGTTAAGTTGCGGAAGTTATTTAATCGGTGCATAATGCGGTTTACTAATAATAATTAAATAACCTCAAACAAAATTAAATGATTGATTTGATTTGATATTTTATTCTAGTAAATCTACCGGTATTTGGACAGGATACATAAGCATTCATTACAATAGTATGCATCCTAGAAGATACGTGCAAGATTCACTGCTTCTTCTTCTGCCGATTGGATTGGAAGGAATAACAACTACAATGAACATGCTAGAAGAATTGAAGAATATGGGGTCAAGAAACAGGAGATTAAATAATAATCGTTGAAATATTCTGCATTTTAGTAAAACAGTAGATTCTCTTGCAGGAGGTGAAGATGAATTGATGGTTCAAACTAAAGTTTAAATACTATTTGTAGAAAGGGAAGATCAAGGAATAACAAAAAATCAAATAAAGGCTTACTGAGCAATCTCTACTCAACATATTTCTCGGGCTTAAAACAAATTAATAATATTTAGGTTTGGTAAAATAATGGTGCATCCAATTCTTTGATATAATTGATTTAATATCTTGTTAAGTGTATTATTGTCATTTGTTTATACATCAGCAAAGGTTTTAAGTTTTAGCATTCGTAATGCAATTTATTTAGACTAAGCTGCTTTGTTTAATAAAGATTGGCATGTTTTTAAAAACATTCGCTGTTTGCGCAAAAACTTGCCACCGCATAAGACATTGCTTAAATGAGATTTGTGTCGGCTTTGCGGAAAGGTTTACTTGTTGACGCAACAAGAGGAAAATGTTTTGTAAATACTCGCCTGAAGTTGACAGAAATTAAATGAGAATCATTCCATAACGTACAGTAATGATTTAGAAAGACGAAGTAATTTTGTGGTGGTACAACACAGATTTGTCAATGTTTTGATATTGGAAAACGAGCAAACCCAGATGGTTTTTGATGGTGAGAAATTAAAATCAGCTGTCGTTTAACTATTGAGACTTATAAACGAAGTGGACCATGTGTAAATTTAGCATTCTAATAGAGTGCTAAACTCCGAGGTAAAACGAACCCAATGCAAACACCTTCAATGCATTAACAATTAAGGTAATTAAGGTAATAAGGTGATGTTTGATTAAGGCAATAATTATTAGTGTGAAAATAACTAATATTTCATATTAAATTAGATTTGTTGACTTTTTATATCTCTACCATAAAGAGTGACCTATGTCAATCAGGTTAACATGTTCAAAAAAGTTCTGTGTCCTATTTAAAATTCAATTCTTTGATCTTTTTTACAACCTGTGGCTAAACATTCAACTTATAGACCAGCTGTTAAACTAAAAACCAAATTTTAAACGAACCTTAGAAATAAATGAAACGCAAGTGGGCGAAGCCCTATGGGTATTCTTATTCGTTACCATTATTCTCTCCACTACCTCACACTAATGATAAGCTTCTTTACTTTACTTAAATTCTTTCTTTACTTGACTTCTTTACATTAGGTAGTTTTTTTTAATTGTTTTATTCGAAAGTTATATTTTAATATATCAAACACATTGTTCAATTAATTTTATCAACACAACACTTCTAAATTTATTCATCAAAAAAGCATATTTAACTAATTAACTCAGTTATAGCTATTGTATATTTTAAATGACAGCAAGCCTTGAGAGAATATAAATTTTGTGTTTTGTAATCATCTAGATCTTTCACGAGTAGCCTACTTAGTTTTTATGATACTTATCCATAAAGTAGTTTATTTTTTGTTCCTATTCTTAGCAGTGAATAAAATATTCCAACCTTAGTCTTGTAAGATGTATGCTACTATTAAAAATTTGTATGGTTAGAAACATACAAAAAGCCATAAATATTATTATTATATTATTGTCACATATTATTTTTGCAGTTTTCTTTATACTTCTGTAGATTTAACACCAACAATTGTCAACACCTAGTCTGGTCAATACGCTGACTTGGACATGAAAGGGATTTTATAGAAAATATTATTACACCAGAGGAGCCGTACGAGAAAGAGGGTTGTACAAAAGCAGGTATTTGTCAACTACGTTTCCGGCCCGCTGCTCCTCAAGGTAGCTGGCTCGGAAAATTCACATTGAACGAGATTCTGAAGAAAATCTTTTACTTCGGCGGAAATAAATTGTAATTTTAGAAAAATACCGATTTGGAAGGATGATGCATACACAATGTAAGTTGTGTACATAGGTAAGTTATACATAGGTGCGATGACATCATGAACAATTGTATCAGCAAATTGACACATACTTTCTCCAATTAGCTTGTCAACAACCCTTATAATGAATGGGTAAGCAGTGGGAGTAACTTGATTTTTTATAAGGGAAATCACAAAAAATGCAATGACTTTTGAACCTTTCTTACAAAATTGAAAGTTTTATAACTTTGTTTAGAGTTTAAAGAGCCACAACATATATATTTACAATAAATAAACATTATTAAAACATACTAAAAGGACACACACACTTTACACATAACTTCGAAATCAGTTTTTGGGTTTCAGGGACCGTAAGATGGATAATTCAACCCAATACTTGAAACTCGAAAATGTTGACGAAAACGATACTTTCACTATGTATAGTCGGGGAAGTTAAAGGCATGAAATGGACATTAAGCTGTAATTTGAAGCCATTAAAATATATTTTTACAAGATACTTTCTGAAATACGAAAATAAAATAACTATTCGAAAAATGTTCTCCTCATAAATCCAAACATCCCCGAGATTTTTTTACTCGATTCCTTCTTGTAAGAGTTATAGAATATCCAACGCATAAGGTTTGTTGTTAACATATTGCATAATTGCACTCTATGCAACTTTAATATAAAAAACCTTTTTAAATTATTACACTATCAAAAATATATCAGAGTATATCTCAATTAGTTCCCTGCAAATTAAACGTGTTTCAAAATGATAAAAGAAAGTTTATTCATGCCCTAATTTGAATTTTAAGGTAATAAAAACTCAATATATTGGAAGAGCAAAAAACAATAAGTGAAGAAAAATAGCTCTTCTGTGCAGACCTCTTTTCTTGTACTAGAATGTATTATATGATCTCTTCCAATATTGAAACATAAGGTGCATTTTGATATGTAGGTCTTCCAATGATTGTTGTGAATTACATTATTGATGTAGTATTCTTATACGGAAAAACATTACTTTTAAAAATATATAAAATTTTGACGTGCCAAAAGAGATATTTGTGTTTAAGAACTATTCAATAAGGATAATATAGTTATGGTTATAACACCAATAATAGTTGTCGATATGGAATTTTTACTACAAACTCTTTACAATAGCAACGGTCAGAGTGCTTCGATTTTACTATAAAGTTGTATTAATATTTAACCATGAATTAAAACGTAACATAAGTACCATTGAGTCATCAGGGCAAAGCGAGGTCACAGAGGACAATTAAATATTGTTAATTACTTAAAACCTTTTAACATCGTCGCATGCCATCAAACTTACAATGTGATATCATGCGATGTCAAATGTCAATATCACTTTCCACTCCCTCAGAATTCATTAGTTCATGTGATATGGATGGTTTTCAAATATCGATTCACATAACATTGCGGACAGCTGATTTGTCATAACAGCTGATTTGTGACATCTAATGAACATTATCGCAATTAAATGTTGATGTTAATGATGTCTGCAGTGTGAATGTCACATGGTGGATTCAGACGTTGTGATGTACACATATTTTAAACATTCTTCACAGATCCCAAATATGTTTACCTGAGGTTTCACCTGACAATCTAGTTGATTTAAAATACCCCCGCCGCAGCAAACCTGCCGACTAAGCGAATTTCCATTTGTCTTAATTGATTTTCAATTAAATATATTTTAATAACATTAGGTTTAACGAGTACCTAGGTTTGCTGCTACAAGGAAATTAATAAAGTTTGTTTTTTTGTAAAATATTGATAGCTTAGTACAAAATAAATAAATTTGATCAAAATACAAAATATATCCATAAGCAAGCAAACTACAACATTTGACAATATTCTCCATAAGAATAACGTGGGAATTTTTAATTTACAATTTTTTTAATTTTCTCCGTTACTATTAACCGAACAAATATACTTTTATATACTAAATTAATTGTTTTTTTAAGCTCTTTAAAAAGGTCTAAAGAGAAATTGGGAAATTTTGTGTTTTGAGGGTCAAAAGTGAGAAAAACTAATTTTTACCCCATAAAACCCCCAGTAAAGCCCCGTTCCCATGGTCCGATCATGCTCGTTCGCGAACTCATTCAAGTGTGTCCCGCTTTACACCCTTAAACCAAATTTCATCAAAATCGGACAAAAATTACTAAAGTTATCGCGTTCACGGACGTATATATATATAGAAGTCTATATATATATATATATATACATATACATATATAAAATTTGAACGAATGGTGTTTTTGGCCTCTGGGGACATAAAAATGAAAAAGTAAATCGGTCCCGGGTCTAGGTCTTACCGTGCCACCTACGGTAATAGCTACTTCCCTATAGGGAAATTCGCTAAAAAATCTAAAACAATTTCCCGTTTTTTTTAGCAAATTTCCCATATAGGGAAAATGTTATTACCGTCTTATGGTAAGACCCGGAACCGATTTACTTTTTCGTTTTGAGTTCCCAGAGGCCAAAAACATATATTCAAATTAATATATCCTACAGTTTCAGTTATCAACTATTCAAATGAGCCATTTTATTTTTAGTAGACCTTCTTGTGATTATGGTGATTTGTCGTCACTTTAAACATAGCTTAAACTTATTAGGAACATCTAATTGGAAGATCCTGGAATATATTTTACCTCTTTAGATCTTAAAGACAAAGAAACATTTCTTCCACCCCTATACTTTTTAAAGTTGTAAGGTCTACCACTTTCATATGTATTAGTGAATCTCGCTGTTGGTTTATACAGTACTATACTTCAAGTATTCATCCCAACGTCCTAGAGACATGTTTTTACACCATATGAAAAATTGGTGACTAAACAATCCCCACCTAAACTTATCAAACCACTTTAAACCTTCCACTCATTTCAACACTATTAATTCTTATTTGCAAAGTTTGCAATCGACGAGTCTAGAGTGTTTGTGCACAGACTGTCCCTATTGTTATCCACACAATAGAACCGAGATGTTAATCAGTCTCTTTGCAGCGGACCTGACTGTACCGAGCTACCGATATTTCTGAATGTTCCCCTTTATAAGGGATTTCAATAGACAATTTTAAATCAAATCCAATCGGTGAATTGAATTGATATTACTTTAATACGATTAAAAGTGATGCCGACTTTCAAAAAACGAATTCTTTACTCTTTGCGTTTTAGTTTAGCTTTAAAGCTTCAGGTAGTCAACAATAAATCAATCTGAAGTGTTTTATGAAATTGAAATTTTATTCATATAGATTTCTTGAACTATTCAGATTTTAAGAAACGCCGTCTTTCATGTGTTCATTGATGACGTTATGCTACGTTATTTTATTTTCTCTTGATAGCATTGATAAAACGAGGGAACCCGTGTGTGAACTGAGCAAATTTATAGGCTTCAGAGATCACAGAAGAGAATTTATAAAGGCAGATTTTATAATGAAAACAACTAATTAACAAAGATTGCGACTGTAGATATATACCATAATGATTTATTTTCCTACCTACGTTAAAACAAAATGTTTTAACATGAGAATGGGATATCTACTTCTAACCACCATAGTCAAAGTCCCTTCTGACCGGGTGTAGGACGAAATAGCACTGTTGCCACTTCGTGCAGTCAGCCATCTTCTTACCACATTCAACAACTATCAGCACACTTTGTCGACGATCTTAACTTTCATTTTCATTCTTATCCTGCTTAAACATGTTAATCAGCTCTACCAACCTCATAGAGGGCGAAATAGCACAGTTGCCACATTGTGCAGTCAACCTTTTTCTTTTCACATTTGATAACAATCAGCGCACTCAGACCATGGTACATCTCAACATTTACATTCTTATCATACTTCAACATGTTAATGGTCTATGGATGTACTAACCTGATAGAGGACGAAATAGCACAGTTGCCACTTTGTGCAGTCAGTCGTTTTCTTACCACATTCAACATCAATCAGCGCACTCTATGGATAGTTCATCTTGACATTTTCACTCTTACCCAACATCAACATGTTAACCAGGTCTACCAACCTGATAGAGGACGAAGTAGCGAAGCTGCCACTTGGTGCTGTCAGCTGTCTTCTTGTGCAGATAACCCTTGACAGAATGGTCGTAGCTGGCGCGCTCCGACAGCATGATCAGCTGTATATCGTTGACGCGGACCGTCCGCTGCATCTTGGGGCTCAACATGGCGCTGCGTCGGCCAGACTTCAGCTGACCTGCGAACAGTCAGTGTAATATTAGTATATTTGACATATGTTTGAGAAAAATGGTGCTCACTACTCGGATTATTGTAGGACAATAGTAGCTGAAAACATAATTACGGTTTATAACGTTTATATTTTTCAGTCCTCGCTCAAAATCAAGAGGGGGGGGGACTCCCTCGAGCTAAGAGGTGACATCCATTTCTACAATACGTAGGGAAATGATCTGAAATGACAACATGCTAGGTTAAGTACCTAAGGTTCAGATGTCAAATGATGGTCTTAGTTACAAGTGTTTTAATAAACTTCCTTTTGTAGTTCGGAGCGTCCAAAAATTGGGGAAAGGGGTTGAGGGGCTCCTTTTGGCAAACCCTTTGTACAGGGCAAAAGCATTTTTTGATTTAGAAGAAGCCTATGTAAGTAGATTTATAAAAAAAATACCTAGTAAAAGTGCTGGTTTTGTTTGATCTCTTTCATTTATTTCTATGCATGTTTGTTCTATGTTTGTTTCAGGAAATTGTTTATATTGGTTTGAAACCTTGTACCTTTTTCTTGTTTTAAGCATGAAATTTTCCAGTAATGTAATCTTGCATTTTGTTGAAATAATTTGGTTCTTTAAAAAAACTGTGGGGTGTCCAGGATGTTTCAAGATCAGAAATTTGATAGTTAAGACATATCATCCTGTAGAAACCCCTTTTAAGAACTGATGAATTATAATATGAAGTAGGAGTCTGCTTTAATATGTGAAGGTTTCATTCCAATGTCTTGTCAAAATAGACATAGTTGAAGTGAGTCACCAACAGATTGCGTTGATGTAAATGACTGATTTCTGTCAAATATTCGGACTTTTTAACCAAGACAGACTGATAGAACGACTTGTACAGCATCTTTTATGTCACCTCAACTATCTCAATAGGAACGAAAAGTAAGGTAGACAATAGAAGACACTAGCGCAATCTGTGACTGGCTCGCTCAACCATGTTCTTTTTTGGATACAAAATTAGTGTCAGCCGTCCATAATAATGGTATGTCTACTTCAGTACACAAAAGTCAATGAACCTATAGTTAAGGGAAGAGGAAGGGTGTTTTTTCCTTGATACAACGGGTTGGACGGTTGAGAAGTTATAGTGCTAGCCTAGCAATCAAAAGGTGACTGGTTCGATCCTGAGATATCAGAATTGTTTAGATTGATCGAGAGAAGGTCCAGATCCCCTCTTCCTAACTAGTAACACAGCTACAAACGCAATCTCACTCCAACTCTCTGCTCATTCTGTATTAGAAGAAATAGCATTCTACGAGCTATAATGTTTAGAAACATTCTCACGAAACAATGCAGAAATATTGACGAAAGCTCTGTGTTTCGGAAAACTGCTGATATAAAATACCTCAAACAATAAAGGAAAGAATGAACCAATAAAGTTGTCAAGAGTTGTTAGACGCAAAAAGTTGAAAATATCAAAAACAAAACAGTGAAACTTCAGCGGTAGGAATCGTTATTTGAGAATTTCTCTCTTTGTTACGTCCAATAATGCTTTCGTTTGTTGTAAAAGGCACTATTTTAATAGTTGTAGACCTGCAACAAGTCTTTATAAAGTGTTCATTTTGTTAATAGGCCTATAGCTACATTTTTATTAAAAAAGACCCTAGGCCGTATTCTAAGGAAAAAATACTGAATTGTGAGAAAATGCAGAGATTTCAGTAAACGACACATTTAAAATTATGTTACATGCTACATAGCTTGCAATTTCAAAATATTTAAAGGGTATCAGAAAACTAAAACATTCATTCTAGCTTTTGAACCATAATTAATTAATAAAGTATTGGGGGTTGTACTCATTGTATGGAGAAATCACTATTAATAATGAGAATTTCGAAGAAAATGGAAAATAAATGCCTGGTGATATATAGTGATAACATACCAAATTTCACCAAAGACGGACCACAGGTGTACCTAGCTCTTAAACTTTATACATCGATGTGCACACCTAAACACAGATATGCACTCACACATACACAGACCAAAACCATCACTTCTAAAACAGAGTTCTGGGGGCCCAAAGAGGTATTTAAACTTAAAACCCCAACTAGAAATTTTTACGAAAACAGTACTTTCTCCAAATACCATGTATAGAGAGAGAACGAACATATTTGTGTGTAAATCTAAGTACGACGATTAACATGCATCCCCATTTAAAATTATAACCTTAGAGAATTGTTTTAATCAACTGAACATTTTACTGTTGGGTAAAACACATGCAAATCAATGATTGTTTATCAATATTTTACATACAGACTTTTTGAATAAGGGAACTTATTTTACAATAGTTGCATAGCAAAAGCACAATAAAATCATCTGTTTAAGTTAATACAGTCGTAGCAATATAGCTTCGAGTATTTCTATTTTAAAACAAACTACATAGTGCATTCTTCATCTCATAGAAATAGAAACACTTATATAAAACAAACTTGAACAATACAAGTCTCAAGTAGAGTTCCAATTTTCCTTTTAAAATAATTTTATATTCCTATTTTAGGAAGTTGAGGTAAACCATAAACAAATTTAAATTTTTAACTTATTTAATGTTTATAATTTATCTTGTCTTCATCTAGAAATAAAAGTGTTATTTTGTCATGTTATATGTTTAGAAAAACCAACATAAAATTGCAGATATTATGCTTCTTTCAAGTAGAGAACATAAATTAATGTTGAAATTAAATTCTAGTTTCCTCGTCTACATGAATTTATATTGAAACAATGTTTTCTAAAACGAGTTATTATACCTCTTCACATCATTGCACCTCTTCAAAAAATAATAATTTGTCGAAAGATTTTATTCAGTCCTTCCTTTTTTGCTGTTTTGAATTGAACAACCTAGATATCTCTAGAATCGGTAGATTTGTTTGGCTTAAGCTTTTTCAAAACGTCTTTTAGGTATAGAAGTATGACATCTCTACAACACAACAAAAGAAAAAATGGTGTTACTGCCTTTTGAGTAAAGTAGAGTATATTCTATGTGATAGACGTTTGTAGTTCAATCATAAGTCAAGCTTATAGATTATATGCAACTTCCCAAATATAGCTGATTGGTTAAAGTGCTCGTCTAACAAACAACATCTCGCTTGATCCTGAGGACAGTCAGAACTTTTCTTCAATTCGAAACTCTAAACAGCTGCGAGCTGTCCTTGATTTGACTAAATAACAGCTGATCTTATTCACTAAAGGAGCTACACAAGGTGCACTCAATTCCACACTCATCTTCCACGTCTTGAGGTAGAAATACGCCAAGTTACATTTAATATCGATTAGTAATATAATAACACTATTGATATGCAAAATAACAATAGTTTAAAAATATCCAATATCCTTGTTAAGCTGTTTAGGATATTTCCTAGAGGTGGTATTCCTAGAGGAGAGTCGGCAATGCTATATCGCGTGCGAACACAAATTGTCAGTCAAGTTCATCTGTTTCTTTGTATAAGCTCTCACGTGCTCTGGGTTCTGGCATCACTTTAAATACAGGGCCGTGGTGTTGGTGTGTAAAAACGTCGCACCGGCCTGTTGTCATAGTAACTGCAATAACGTGTAAACATAAACGTTCACATACGCTACATTATTAGTGCAACAGCTGTTTTGGTAGGCCGGGGCTGCGGTGTTGCCACTTTTGTCTCTCCGCGGTTATGGACGAATTTTCCTCATCAATAAGGGTGATGGATTATGTTACTGACACTGGCGTACCAGGACGCGTTTTTATTAAGCAATGATGAATAAGGATGACTATTGAATGAGGCAAGTAGTAGCTTAGTTACTAAAATCAGCTGGTTCTTCTGCTTAGACTATTTTTAAAAGCCTAATAATCTGGCAGTTGGTTCAGTTTTTAACAATCAAAAAGCTATTGCCTTTTGTCAGGGTTGAACCGGCAAACTTAGGTTTAGAAGGCAAGTCTGATACCAATCACTTCGAATATTGTACGTCTTGTTTCATATGTAATACAAATCAATAATAAATGTTAGTGTATATTTACTCTTAACATAACAGAAAAGTGTTTTGCCGTTGTATTATCTTTTTTCGAATTCAAACTTGCACGCAACTTGTTAACACTGTGTGAATTTATCAAAATGGTGTTGTAAAAATTATGTTTACCGTTTGAATAAATAATTAAAATCTGGAGCCCGGTCGAAGTGAAATTCTTGTCCAGTTATGTTTAGTCAACAACTATATATTGCTCTATTTAATCCTAATATTATATAATTTTCGCTTTGAAGGTAAGTGAACGTGTTTAAATATTCAAATCCATACAACCTTCAAAATTAGTTGTAGTTGAAATCAGAATGGATAACTGATTGACAAAATATTTAAAAACACAATATATTCTTATCTTTTTAGTTCAAATGTATATCACTCAATGTAGTAAAATTAAATCAAATTACATCACTATGGTAAGACAGCTGTTTTCCTTCTTCGTGAAATCAATTAATCTATTAAATGGATATGTTTCCATCGATTGTCATAATAAAAGCACTAAATCTCTGATGACTTGATGAAGAAGCTTGCAAAAGTATTTGCACGCAAACTCTTTTACACAAATAAGTGAAAACTGGTTTAAAAGTGTTAAAATATGTATATAATTAATGTAATATGTTTACCAGGTCCGTGAAGCGCTGAATTGCGTTATTAAAAGCTCAGGTTTCCATCACAGGATTACTTGATGCTGATTGGGTGCATTTGTGCGAATATTTTGGTTTTACCAATTCATTAGAACAAATTTGCTTTTATATTTTATTTTTGTAACGTCAATCCAGCGTTTTGTATAGAACCTGTCATAATCATACAGGGAAATTAACTTGTCTTTGCTTGACAGCTTTAGTTTATTAATTGTAAATGTTTTTAGATTTGTTTATAGGTAAGATAACAAGATGTTTATTAAGCAATGGGATTTGACCGAAGTAGTTTAAAAGTTAAACTTTGAAACTAAGATTGATATAGGCCTAAACTTTGTGATAGATTCATACCATAT